TCTTTTCATAGATCAGTAACTGGTTAAAAGATAGGAAGCCAAGACTATGAATAAATGGTCAGATTTCACAATGGAGAGAGGTAAATAGCGGAGTCCCCCAAGGATCTGTACTGGAACCTGTGTTGCTCAAGATATTCATAAATTATCTGGAAAAGGGTAAACAGTGAGGTGACAAAGTTTGCAGAAAATACAAAATTACTCAAAATAGTTTAATCCAAATCAGACTGCGAAGACTTACACAGGGATCTCACAAAACTGGGTGACTGCGCAACAAAATGGCAGATATAATTCAAAGTTTATAAATGCAACTTAATACACATTGTAAAACATAATGCCAACTATACATACAAAATGTTGAGGTCTAAATTAGTTGTTACCACTCAAGAAAGAAATCTTGGAGTCATTGAGGATAGTTCTCTGAAAACATCCACTCAATGTATAGCAGCAGTCAAAAAAGCGAACAGAATGTTAGGAACCATTAGAAAAGGGACAGCTAATAAGACAGAAAATATCATAAGGCAACTATATAAATTGATGGTACACCCACACCGTGAATACTGCATGCAGTTCTTGTCAACCCATCTCAAAAAACATATATTTGAATTGGAAAAAGTACAGGGAAGGACATAAAAATAATTAAGGGTATGGAAAACCTTCCATATGAAGTGAGATTTAAGAGACTGGGACTCTTCAGCTTAAAAAAAGAGACAGCTGAGGAAGGGTATGACAGAAGTCTATAAAATCATGAATAGTGTGGGGAAAGTAAGTGTTATTTCTGCAGGGTGTAGCCCGAAGATATTATGTCAAGCACTCAACGGTCCAAGGTCAGCTGCAACCAGACTGACCGGAAGGGGCGCAGGCGGTTGAGGAAAGAGCAGGGGGGTGGATCCTGGGAAGTGACTGGAGTGCCATCCCTGAGCACATCCTCAAAATGACTGCTTCTGGCTTCCTTGGCTTCTGGAAGAACCAGGCTGGGCAGAGGAATGGGCAGACAAAGGGTGATGCTGTTTAAATCCTTTGTCTCTGTTCTTCTTCATGTAGGAGCTGGACCGGGGGACACCCCAGGACCTTGACGGAGGTGGGGTGGACGGAATGGCTTTCTAGATAGCTGAGGGGTGTGTAGGCCCAAGGAACGGAGGGTGCCATGGGAGTTTTTAAGGCCGTGGAGCTGTGCATCAGTCAACTCTGAAAAGAGCCCTGCTCCCTCAAATAGAAGGTCCAAAGGACTGTAACCAAGAGCTGCGCTTCATGACCACTGCAGAGGCAACAACCCTGACCGCCGAGTCTGTAGCGTCCCAGGCCATCTAGAGAGCACCTCTTGCCACCGCTTTGCCCTCTTCCACCAAGGCGGCGAACTCCTGGGCTCAGTCCTGTGGGAGGCCTCCTTGAACTTGCTGATGGAGTCCCACAGGTTGAAGTTGTACTTGCCTGGCAGGGCCTGATGGCTAGACACCCAAAATTGAAGGCTGGCTGTCGAATAAATTTTCCTGCCAAACAAGTCCAGCCTCTTGGTGTCTTTATGTTTGGGTGTGCCACTCACCTGACCCTGCCTGGCCCTTTCGTTGATGGTGGACCTGACGAGGGACCCTGCTGGAGGATGGGTGTACAGGTACTCAAATCCCTTTGTGGGCACATAGTACTTCTTTCCTGCCTTCTTGGAGGTAGGCGGAATGGAAGAGGGGGTCTGCCACATAAACTTGGCAATTTTAAGGACCCCTGGGTGGATGGGCAATGCAACCTGGGCCAGGGTGGAGGAGGGTATGACATTAAAGAGGTCGGACTCCTCTGCTAACTCCTAAACCTCCAAGTTCAGGTTGGCAGCCATCCTTTTGAGCAGGGTCTGATGCTCCTTGAAGTTTTCGGGGAGGCTACTCGTTTGCAAGAGGCCCACCACCGCTTCATCCAGAGATGACGACGAAGACTGCACAGCAGAAGGAGGGACGGCTTCCCCTTGCTCATCCAGGACGTCGGGGACCGCTGTGTTGCCCCGTGTCGGATTCGACACCGTGCTCCAACACAGGTGCCAGCTGTGCTGGGGGCAGCTTGACGGATGCAGCCTGGGAGGAACAGTGGGAGTATGGGACCAGCATAACAGGTACAGCTCTTTATATTCCTTTCATAGAAACTGTAATGGCTAAAAGGTCTTCCAAGATATTATGCTATAGATATTTAGTAAGACTATCACCAACCTCTGCTCTCTTGGGAGACAACGAGATGGGCCAGCGACCAACAAGAAAAGAAAAGGGGCCTTCCCATAGTTTAAGTGCAAAAATTAATAGATAATAAATACAGAGCACTTATACACCCTTTTATATATTTAAACTGCTGAACAAACATTAACAAGGTAGGTTAGCATGAGCTTTATTTTCTGAATGCGGAAACTGAAGTGGAGAGGAGAAGCTACTTCCACATAGCAAGACAATATTGGAGAAAGCATTAGAACACTAGAGCGTCTCATCCCCAACCATGATGCAGCTTCACAGTGAATCAGAAACCAGACAATTAATACATATTATGTATTATTTGTCTGATTTCTGAGGCTAATGTGTCTGCCCAGCAGTCTCCTTTGCTGGTAGTTTGTTTCCCAAATTATAGCCTAAAAAGAACTTTTCATTGTCAAAAACTGGAATTTATAGAGAATATACAGGCAGAATCCCTTGCTTAAACAGTGACATTCAGTGTATCACTATAGAAAACATACTGTTTGTACTCACTGGTATTTTATTGTATTTGACTCCATAGGAATAAAATGGTTGTTGAAGCAGCAAGTATCATATTAGAGCTATTTGCATTGTATTTGTGAAATGCACCAATATGAAAACTATTCACTTCCATCATGGCTGCTAGCAACATGTAATGCCGTGCCGTGGGTGGTTCGAAGCATCTGCTACAAAGAGTGCAAGAGTTGGTGAGCAGTGACAATTTATACTCCCATTGATTTTATAGCAGGAAGAGAGAAGGAGAGAGGCGGAAACAAGCCATTTCACTCAAGATGGAAGCATGAAGAAAATTAGAATCAACATGTCTTGATGAAAATTGTTGGGATATTCAATTAAGGAAAAACAACAAGAGATGGTCCAGCTAAATTATAACTATACATTGCTCAATCTTGGCAAAGCACACCACAATAGAAGTGTTATGGTATGTGAAAGCAACTTAGGACAGAAGTACCAAAGTCTGTAACTAGAGACAATATTCTTCCTCCAAAAGGCAAAGTGCAGCCTTTAAAGCATCTGTAGTGACCAGTGATCACAGTACTTTCCTTAACAACCCTTTACAAACTGAGGTCCCAACACTCCTCCTCTTCATGGGTCCTCATTTTATTCCCTCATTTTATTAATCTTGAATTCCAGCCTTCTATGGGGGTAAGGGTACTCCTCTTTCCCACAATAGATCCGCAAATATGGTCACAGCAACTAATCAACACCACCCTTCCCCCATAAGGGAAAATAAATGTAATTTATTGGGATCTCAACACATTTCTGCCCATGCTTGTGATGACAGCTGGGCACTACTAAAGGCATGGCATTCTAAATCGGAAAAAAAATCTGTTGCATTAGCTATCGTTGTAATCACACTATTAATCACATTGTTTTGAGAGGCTATTGGTCTTTCCAACTGCTTATCATTTGAACAATAAGGACACAGTTCTCTATAGCAACTGATTCACATTTTTCTTTGGTAATTTTTACGGTTTTCCAATTGGATTTTTTAAATGAGGAATGTAGGGGTCCTGAATTATATATTGTTTCTCCAAATTTGATACATATATTCTGCTTTGTTGTGAGACAATCTACTGTACCTCTAGATAAAAGCAAGATAATAAACACTCCAAAGCTGCATTTAGTCTAAGTGGGTCATTTCTAATGAGCAAGCATGACATTTACATGTAGCAAGCAGATTGATCAGAGTGCTGAAAAACAGAATATGGCATCAACTCAGGAAATATGCATCTACATGGAGTTTAGGTTATCTGATTTTCTTACCTCCAAAATGCCCCTCTCAGGCATTGATCTCCAGATCAATTTAGATTAAACAGTACCTGTGATTTAGATGTGGCAAATCTTTGCCAGCATTACCTTTGCACTTGCAAAAAATGCCCTCATTTCAATACATCTAGATAAAATCCAGCATGGACAGAACAGAAAGAGAACACAGCTGCAGTGATCATACACTCTGCTCCTTAGAGAAAAGGACTTTACAAACAGTATATTTTCCTGAGCTACAACTTGATATACTGTACAAGCAATAACAATCTAGAGGTTTACCTTTAAAAAACAGTAATACGCCCAGCAACAATCAGCTACATACAACTTTGGCCAGAGATTTTAAAATAGGAATACCATGACCATGCTGTGTATTTATTTTTTCTAACAAAAACTGAACTGCACTGTGCAAAAACAAAAAGCTAACTGAATATATACACTGCAAAATTTACAACCAATCCCTTGATAGATACTATAGCAAGGCTGCTTCCACAGATACCTAAAGAGAAATGGACGGGGGTGGGGAGTGAAAGAAATATAGACACCTCCCAAATATATACAAAATATACTCCAGGTCTTTGTTCAGTCTGGACACTCATTCAAAGGTGTAAATAATGGTTACATTGTTAGATTTCTAACTCCAACTAGCTCCAAATATTGTGTGAGTGGCTCTCTCATAGTTCACAGTGGGCTCCCTTGACCCAGCTAGACAAGCGTGAAAACATGAAATAAATGAAGGTTAACAAAGGACTGATCTGGGAAACAGTTCACGTTAAAAGCTTGCAGTGTTACTACTATGCATATAGGACTCTGCATTTGAATTCCGTAAGTCTTAAATATTCACAATCACAATATTAATTCCAGGCATTACTTCAAGAAGCCAAACGGAAAGAAAAATCTTTCCCATCTGCTACACCAGGATATTCACTAGCCTTATAGGCATGCACCTAAAGCAAATAAGGAAACTGTGAAATAATATCATATTTGTAAACGGAAAACTATTTATCACAATACCTTTTTGTGTTTGTCCCTCTTCCATATTCTCTTCCATGGCTACCTTTCTTCACTACAAACTGCTACACAGAATTAATCAAAAGCTTCAATTAGATGTTGGAAAAAGTGTGGGGTGCTTTTTTCCTGGGAAGCTCCAACAGCAGAGGCTTAGGCAAGTCCTCAGAGCTTAGCTAAGGCGCTCTCTCTCTCTCTCTCTCTCTCTCTCTCCTTGTTTGCTTGGAGACAGGCTGTCAAGTGTAATTTCATTCAAATTGCTCTTCCGTGAAGATTATCAATTTTTCTTCTCAAAGCTGCCCATTGTTTATCACTGTAAACAGGTATTCAAATGAATAGCCAGTGAATTTTGGGGGGAAATTTGGTCTTGGTCCCAGTGGCAGTGACACTGTAATTCATAAGCCTCGCTTTGCATATAAAATTGGGAAAAGAAATTGAGGTTTGTATTGAAATCTGCGTTTTAAATTGGAAACAGGCTGCACTGAGAACAGATGGAGGGGTGTCCTCCTAACATGAAGCAGACCACCAACCCATAATTCCCCCTATTTGCTACCAAAGTGGGAAAGCCCAGATGCCTGTGGGTTCTTTATGCTGCAGTAGTTGTCTCACTCTTGGTCACATACGGTACATTACTAATATTCTCCTTCATTTTCTCTCTCTCTCTCTCTCTCTCTCATATATATATTATATATCTATACTATTTGGGTAGAATTAGTATTAGAAATACATAATATTGTACTTATTCTATAATGTATTCTGACAGGCTGCAAGAGGACTTGTTTAAAAGAGGAATACATCTTTGTAGTTTAAGGTGTTTTTTTTTTCCAAGTATATAAATAAAAAAGCAGAAAGTATGAAATAGAGAATATTACTGACAGCCCACCAAATCCTCGATTTAAGGTAAATTATCTCTCACAATGCCACAAAGTACTCAGATATGAATTTAAGATAAGACAGTGAGATGTTTAAATAAATTTTCTATCATTTTTTTTTCCTGCTGTATAGCATGCAAAATTATCAGTAGGCTGTAGTACCTTATTAAAAGATGGAACCTTTTCAAGATGGTGAAGCTTAAAACCAAACCAAAAACCCACACACACACATTACACAATGTTTGTCATGGATTGTTCGAGGAAAAACACAGGTTCCATACATTGTGGGGGCACTTACTTGTTTGGGGAGCTGTGCAGTCTGATTTGAAATGCAAATTGGACACTGCAGTCTGTCAATAAATTAGTATTTTTGTACTCTGGCCTGTTGAGTGGCATAGCATCATCTTAAGAGTTTGAATACTTCCTAGAAGAACAAGAAAAAAAAAAAAACACGCAATGTGTGTTGTTGCGGGTTTTTTTTTTTTTTTTTTTTTTTTAAAGCTCTTTCACATTCCTCTTTCCCTATCCTCCTAGAAAAACGTGACTAATTCTCATCATGAATAAAAAATTTCAAGGCTTAAAATGGATAAACACAAAAGCAAAACTGTTTTTAATGTGACATTATTTCACAAACATCTCACCAGCTCGCTCTATGTTTAAAATTGTTTTAAGGTCTGGTAAACATTTTGTATACTATTTTGTTCATAACGGTTCACGTCAACAGAAATTTCATAAATGATTTGTACATTCAGATAGATCGCTACCTGACCGTTCTGTTTTTAAAATGCACCTATCTAGTGCTTTGGTTGCATGCACACCTCTTATATGGAATAAATAAAGACTAATTTCCAACAGATTCAGTCTTCCCAGACCTCCTAGATATTTTTCAAATGAAAATCTCTCAAAACCACCACTTAGCTGCTCATCTATCTAAGATGGCTTCAGCATCATAGTATGCAAGGATCTTGCCTCCCCTAGAAAACCTGGGAAAACAAATGAGCTTTCAGCATGACCTAAAAGTCCACAAATTTGGATTTTGTTGAATTGCATCATAAAATGCATGGCACAGCTGAACATTCCTTATTGAGAACACCCTCCTCTAGACCCCCATCATTAAACCAGGGGAGTGTTAGCTTAAGCATCTGAGAGGAACTGAACTACCATGGCATCATAAGGGGAGATGTGAGGTGAGAAGACCTACCAGAGCCCACTAGGGAGAGCATATCTCCTCCCCAAGACAGCAGTACTATGGTTACTACCAGACCTCTCTGAGAACCCCACTAACAAAGGCGACATCAGCTGATTTGTGCATATCCTCCCGAAAGTCTCAGCACATGTCACATGGCTACTCAGCACAGCTAACGAGCCCCTTTATGCTATATCCAGGAGATGGCCATCTCTTGGATTTTGTAGCTTCTCTGAGTAGGGAACACACATAAGGAAGTAGGGGTACCAGATGCTGGCTCTTATCTAGTGGCAGAGGATGTATACGGATTACTTCTACTCTTTGTGGGGCCCTTTGCACAACACAAAGAAAAGGGACTTGTGGAAGTGTTTGGTTTCAGAAAGGTAGAACTCATCAGACATACAGAGAATGGGACCGGACCTCAAGTCTTGCCTTAGGTTTGTGGCAGAAACTCAACAGTGAGACCTCCTAAGTAAGGTGAATGGATGAGACCAAATTGGGAGCAAGTCCACAGAACAAACCTTCTCTATGTGATATTTCATTTTCCACAAGCCAGGGTTGTGAGTTCAGACTCTGGGATGAAAATTGCTTTTCATAACAGGAGAGAGCATGGACTGGTGAAGATAGGACCAAATAAGTCTGAATCGAGAGCAAGTGAGAACTATATTTAACTAAAAGGGATAGAGACACACTAAACAAGAGTCGTAGACAAAGAAACTGCCCTAAGGAGGCTAGCTACAGGAGAGGAGGGGTGAACCCCACTGGGAATCCTCCTGTGGACTCAAGAGAGCTGAGGACAGAGGTCTGGACCCTAACGGAGCTAGCACAGAGACTCTCTGAACCCCATTTTTGTCTGGGCTTATTTTAAGCCATGAGGATACATTTTCAGCCTCATAACTACATACATGAAATTATAACCTATAACATTACTGTAACAACAATGCTCAGTGCATCATGAGCCTTCCGAAGACACCTGACATGACAAACTTTGCATTGGATACGACACAATCATTTTACAAGGATGAACATGGGGTACTGGGTGTCCCCCCGAGGTACAGAGCATCACATCAAGTCACTTCTTGGCTGAAGACTTCCCACTAGAGATAGCATTCATCCAGATGGAGGCCTTTCTGGCTCAGCACAATGTCTGGTCACATGCAGGGCCTTGACAGACCCCAGGATTTTCTCTGCCTAGTAGAAGACATCATTAGATTTTGGAAGAGAATACTCCAAGTTCAGCCTTGATGATTCGGGTAGGCCATCATGGGGGCATTGTTGGACCTGGTTAGGATGTGGCTCTCAAGTCCCCCATAGCCAATCTACTGGCCGCTCAAAACAAGGGAGGTCAAGCTTTTGTTCTTGAGGAGATGATGCCTCGACTGACTGAACTGTGACTGCTCCATCCATATTGATGCACTGGGAGTCCAGAAGCAAGGTTCGCTTTATAGCATGACGCCTGGCCAGCTCCCAACTGAGGTGTGATTTTTGTGGTTGAAAGAAAGGAATTAGGTCCTCTATGTTCTCCTCTATTGAGGAAAAGAAGAAAAACAGATGCTGGAAAGGCAAAGAATGAATTCAAGCCTGGGACCAGGTTCTAACAGAGCAATATGCTGCTATGCACAAACAGATAGGCACTAAGTCACTGAAGTGGACAAGTTCAAGTAGGGTCTCTAGTTTGAGGATTATGTCAGGGGTGGTAAAGACTGTCTGTCCACCATTATCTTTATTACAACAGTGTCTGTGAGAGAGTAAGAGAACTCTTCTCCCAATTCACTACCAAGCTGAGCTGCCAGAATCTCAAATGCAGGGGACTGGGCCAGACTGGGAGTTATTCAGATCCCTTTCTTCCTGAAGGATGCTTCAACGACCACGATTATGTTCAAGACAGTCCTTGGGGCTGATCAATACTAAACGAAAGAACACGGTGTTAAACTGAAAGTGCAGGTGTCCTGCAGAGAATCTGAGGAACCTCTGGTTGGTTTATATTATAGAATATGACGGTAAGCCTCCTTCAGATCAACGGTGCCAAACAGTCACACAGACCTATGGCTATTAGCACTAAGTGAAGAGACTCCATTCTGAAGATCTGACATGCTGATTCAGCACACTAAACACATCCTGCACCAGCTAAAGTTTCAGAAGTCTTGAACTATAGCTCCATGTAGAACATACTGCAGTGCAAAGTTATGGGTGTTGTGGGCCAGGATGTAGGTGGCCTGGCCTAGTAGTCAGAGCAAGAGTCAGGTCTAGTGGGCAGAGCACACATCCAGAAAGCAGGGGGAAGCCAAGGGTCAGCACCAAAGTCAACTGCTTAATTACCAGAGCCAGGGGTCAAACCAGAGTCAGAATTAGGAATCGAAGCTGTTGGTCACAGCCGAGGTCAGATACTAAATGCCAGAGCCAGTGTTAGAAGTTGGAGGCCAGGGTCACAGACAGGACTGCTAACTGATGGTGGAAGTGAAGTAAAGGCAGGAACTGGAGAAGAGGCAACGATCAAGCACCGAGAAGGAGCATAGTGGGAACAGGAGCAAAGGCAGGGAGGAGGCAGGAGCAGAGCAGGAATCAGGAACAGGGTTCAGTTCAAGAAGCAGGTACAAGCAGGGTCAAATGCAGCCGCAACAGGAAATCACCTTCCTGCTCAGACAACTTCCTGTGCCTCATTCTGGCTTAAATAACGTGGTTGGACCAATTGGTGGAGCCCGGGTGATCCTCTAATCAAGGATTCCATGGGTGTTACCTTGGCTGAGATTGTCATCCTACTAGCTTCTCAGCTCACCATGTTTCAGCAAACATTGGATGGAGGCCAGGATGCGGCAGCTGGTCTGGGAGCTCCCAGACCTGGCTTCAAGACTTGGTATATTCACAATGGGTCACTGAGGAACGGCTCTCATTAGAGAGAGAAGATTGTAACCTTCTGGCCAAGTGTAAATGACAGAATGCTATGCAGGCATTTGAAAGAAGATGCAAGTCCCAAAAAACACCCAGTTTACAAATCAGAGTAATTAAAAAGGT